GTACATCTTAAGCCACAGCAGGATCAAAACTGCAGGGGTGGTAGACCCTGGTGAGGCCACAAAGTCTTCCAAGTTTCAAGGAGATAAGTACAGGGGTTTGGGAGAAACTGCACCTCAAGCTGTGGACAAGAAAAACTCGTGACATGGGTGACACTGTGTGTGTTAAGGTGAAAGCTGCAAGCCTGCTAGCCCCAGCTGTGGCCACAAAGCCTGCCAGCTGTCGAGGAGATCGGTGCAGGGCTTCTGGGTTCTGGGGCCTTGCACCTCTGGCTGCTGACAGACAAAAGTGGTGTCATGGGTGCTTGTGTAACTGTGTCTGTCTTGGGACACGGGGGAGGGGAAACTACTGCAGGCCTGGAGGCTAGGCCCTGCTGCGGCCACAACACCTGACAGCTGTGGAGGAGATCGGTGCAGGGGGGTTCTGGGGCCCCTAGCTGCTGACAGACAAAACTCATGACATGGGGGCTTGTGCAACTGTGTCTGTCTTGGGGCAGTTGATTTCCTGTATTGATTATTTCCTGTCCTTAGTCTGTAGTTTTGTAGGTGTTAATCCATGCTCATTAAGTCTTATGTAGTAGCTAGGTACTATGTATTGAGCTGGTCCCTGAGTGAATCATGACTGATTGGTAACTGGTAACACAGTAGCTTAGCAGCTAGGCCTGCTGTAGTCTCTGTCTCCCCGCCTCTCCCCCCCGCCCCGTGCCCCAAGACAGACACAGTTGCACAAGCCACCATGTAACAAGTTTTGCTTGTCCACAGCTTGAGGTGCAGTTCCCCCGCCCCAAACCCCTGCACCTATCACCTTGAAACTTGGCAGGCTTTGTGGCCTCAGCAGGGGCCAGCACCCCTGCAGTTTTCAGCCCGCTGCACCTTAACACACACAGTATCATCTATATCATAAGTTTTGCCTGTCAGCAGCTTGAGGTGCAGTTCCCCCGCCCCAAACCCCTGCACCTATCACCTTGAAACTTGGCAGGCTTCATGCCCTCACCAGGGGCTACCACCTCTGCAGTTTTGACCCCACTGTGGCTTAACATATACATATGACATAAGTTTTGCTTTCAGGATTTTGGGGTGCAGTTTCTCTGAACCCCTGCACCTATCTCCTTGAATCATGACGGCTTTGTTTCCTCAGCAGGGGCTACGATCCCTGCAGTTTTGACCCTGCTATGGCTTAACACATACACATGACATGAGTTTTGCTCTCAAGATTTTTGGGTACAGTTTGTCCAAATCCCCTGTACCTATCTTCTTGAAACATGGCACACATCGTGCCCCAAGAAGGGGCTACTATTCTGGCAAGTTTCATCCAAATCTATACAGAAATGACAAAGTTATAGGCTGTATTGACCTTCCCCATTATACCCTATGGGAGAAACGTTGAAAGAGGGTCAAAACAGCAAAAGGTTTCGACGGAACGAAACGGAACAGTCATTTTTACTCTAAACAAAAGTTGAAATGAAACACTGTTCTATCGAAACGTCAAAGCACTGGTCGAAATGAAACGCTTCCGTTTCACACAGCCCTATCAGTCTCTCTCTTGTTTTTTTTTTCTGCAATGAAGCCTGCCTGCACAGGCTGCTGCTGGATCCCACTGCCCCTGATCTGTGCAGGGCCCACCTAGCCCCAAGCACATCAGCTTCCAGTGCTCCCTGCACTGTTGCACTTTGTTAGGTAGCAAACTAAAACACCTCAGCGGTATTTTATCTTGCTACATACCAAAGTCATTTACAGTGGAATACACCACTGATCATACAAACAGCAACCCCATTAAAGGGCAAAAGGGCATTTAAGCCACTTTAAAGGCCAATGTTGTGGCATGTACAAAGGCCCATAGAGGCATACATATAGATGCTGAGACATCTACTGCTCAGCTAATTAGTCTACTGCACAGTAAACATCTCATGTAGACACTCCCAGTATGCGTTTCCCTGTTTTCTGTGAATGATTTTTTCTCGCTCAGTCATTTACTTCTGTGCAAGGCTGATGTAAAATTCTACCAGATGGATCTGGTCATGTTTTATGCTGGTGTATATGACATCCTATGTATCGTACCCTAGATAATTAGGCCTTTGATGCTGGCGTAGACACAATGCCAAATAGAGTCATAGGGAGCGCTGTGCTAGTGCTGCTGCTGCTGCTGCTGCTGCTGCCTTCTTCCAGGGTAAAATATACAACCATGTGATCAAGCCCTCAGTTATTAAAGAATCTATGAAGTTTTTTTGTAGCTACATGAAAATATGCTTTTCCACAACTTTACTACAATTGGCTTTGCCTTCCTTATGCTGGGCCATATTCTGATCTCAAAGACATTGATCAAAATTGATTTGGAGTAAGTGAGGTCACAACCTGGCCATTCTGTGGGTGTGTGCACACAGGACACCTTAATGCACAATGGACTGTTCTAAAAAATTGCCTTTGCTCCTGTGCATTAGTGCAGCTACTGAGCCTTTCTCTAGTACTTCATATTAGAGGTACTAAACTTAATGCACAGTAGCAAAGATGCAATAATGAATGTGTAGGCGCGCCCACTAACAGTCATAATCCTAACCATTAGGCTTAGACCTATAGTAGTCATAACCCTAACAGTACATGTTACACCACTGAGGTCTTTGTTGCCCTTTCTGAACACTTGCCTTCAGATTAAACTGGCCAGATTCCAGACAAAACCAGATGGAGCTGTTTGGCTCAAAAAGTTTGCCATGTATAAATTCCCTACGCAGTATACTTTATGGAACAAAAATTGGAGATGAAAAAGTTTAGGAGAAAACCAGCTGGTCCCTTTGCTTAATGCTGGGTTATTTCCTGTGCTGTAAATTTCAAGGCTTTTGTTCAGTTTAGTTTTAAATGATTCCAGTGAAGGAACGTCCATCACTTCCCTTGAAAGTCTATCCTACAGTCTGATGGACCTCCCAGCCTTCGTTTTCTCCTTGCTTGGTTCTGTAGCAGAAGCCACAAACTGTCAAATGTAATATTTCATCACTTTATATGGAGTAAAGATAGCAAGACTTTTGGCCTGTGAAAAATCACTTTTTTACACTGATGCAAAATATGCAAGCATTAATAGTCAACAGCAGAATCCTCTGAGAAAAAAAAAATTATTTCAAGACTCATGGTAATCTCCCAAGAAATGATTCTGAGGACAGTAATACACTGGAATGAATTGACAGACACCTGAGACTTTGCAGTTGTCATTCAGTCATTCTCATGACTACTATGAATTTCAGTGTGGAATTCCAGTCCAAACATATAAGTTGCTGTCTTGTACGTGAGTTCCAGACCTAGGATTCAGTGCTGAGAGCTCAGTGAAGGCACCTGTTTAATGATCAGCAGTCAAAAAAACCAAAACATTGGATGGCATAAGGAATGGGATGGAAAGCAATAGTGACAATATTGTAACTGGGAGACCCTTAGCTGGGAGACTGAGTGAAGTTCACGTCCTCTAATCTTTGAACAATTATAGCATGAACCAAGAGGGTTCAGAAAAAGGAAGCAAAAATGATTTCTGGCCTAACAATTTGCTACAAGGATGGAAATTGAAGAGACTGGGACTATTTGTTTTAGATATGAGATGAATAAGAGGGAATGTGATAAAGATACTGGGCACATCTACATGAGACATTTACTGTGCGGTTGACTAATTAGCTACGCAGTAAATGTCTCAGCATCTACACATGCAGCCCTATTAGGCTGGAGTAAACTAATTTACTCAACAGCAGAATAGTACTTGTAAATACAAGTACTATCCTGCTGTGAACTAAAAAAACTATGCAGTAGTGCATGTGTAGGTGCTCCCGTGGCTGGCTGGGACACGAGGGTCATGGCTACTATTGCCTCCCGAGTCTGGGGGGGCACCAGGTTGCCGACCGGGAGGGGGACTTCTGGTTTTGCGGCTGGCACTTCCAGGGGGTGCATGGTCGATCTCAGGGGGTGCACGTGCACCCGCGTGCACCCCCTACACATTGCCAATGACAAGGGTGCTTCAGTGCAGGAGCTGCCTGCCAGCTAGACCTGTACTGAAGCATCCTCTGGCCCTAGCCTTTTTCCCTATAATTCCCATTTCAGGGAATAAACTGAGAACAAATTGACAATAAAAAACAGTTATACCCTGTAGGCATAACTGTTACAGAGAGTTTAGCACTTTCTTCAGAAAGAGCACTGGCTCATGTCAGACACATACTACTTGGCTTCATTAGCCTTACCCAATAAATTCCTACATTTTTACTTAACTTTGTGAAAGAGCTTCTTTCATCTGCTAGCAGCAGAGAACCCTTACCTCAGAGCTAAGCACGTCTGATGCCGTTTAACAGAAGGCACTGGTGACACATAGGCCCTGCCTACTTCATTAACATATCCAGGAATACACCACAGACACATTCTGTCCTTGCTATCTTTGTACAAATCTAGATTTCAAGGGAATAATGGACTTGGGCTTGCACCTGTTCAGCAACAGTGAGAATGAACCACATTTCCTTCTGTATCCAGGTTTGCAATAAGACATTTCAGAGGTGACAAAGCCAAAAATAGAACCTGGCTCTGGTATTTTCTACCATATTTTTTGTGAGTTCGGGGCAAACCATTATATAGAGGGGCATTTACAAAATTCTTATCTGAGGTTGGATATCAAATCCCTCCAAAAGCCATGGAACTAGCTTCAAGATCATCGATACAACCAAATGTGCATTTCCCTTTGGGTGGGTGTAAAACTTTCAGTACGTGTGTCCTCTTCTGGTGGCCAGTCCACATGAGATGAAAGGAAGCCACTATAACAGCCACACAAAGAAGTTATTCCTTTAGTTTAAACTTTTGAGTCTCATCCTCTTTAGTGCTGACAGTCCCAGATCCTGGAAGGCAGGATGCCTCACTGATGTATTCTGCTCACCTCTACAGCAGTTTGCATCTTCAAGCAAACAACAGATCCTAAATTCATCCCAAATGAATACTCTCTTCCAATTCATTTCACTCTTTTATTTCCTCAAAAATAGATCAACAATGGCTTGGTTGCATTTTCAAATCTTACAACCCACTTGGAGTCCTGTAAACACTTTTATCTTTCTCATGAAGTGTCTATCATAAATTATTATAACCAGCTGCTTCCAATAAGAAATTAATTTAAACACAAAAAATGATACAAATGAAAATGTTTTTCCCTTCCCCCTTCCTACCCAGTGTCTTGGCAGGATCAGTATAATGGCTCTAATTATGAGAGGTCATGTGCCTTGATAAATGGTGGCGTTCCCGAAAGTACTCGTGGCATATTGGACATTTTAGCTTCTCTTCACGTCTCCTCTTGCACTGAGACTCAGCAGAGGAGTATTCTTTTTTATGGTGGGATCGCATGTGGAAGACCAGGTCAGACGTCATACGGAAAGAGAGGTTGCATTTGGCACACCAGTTCTGGGCAGCCACACCAAAGGAGGTGAACGTGGGAGGCAGCAGTGTCAAGGAGGAGGAGGAAGAGGAAGTGGTGGTACTCTGCAACTGCCCTCCCATTTGTTTGTGCCACGGTTCTGAGGAGTATGAGAAAGCTCCACTCTGAGTAATGCTGGTCTGCAGCATCCGAGAGTTACCCAAATCACCAACAAAGAACTTGGAATTCAAAAGATTACCATAGCACATGATGTCTGTGGTGGTGATGAAGCTAGATAGGTCCCCCAGACTCTTTGTTGAATCATTCACAGGGTGAAGGGAGTTTACCGCTCCCTTATCCACTACACATTTGGTGGGTTTACTAAAAGCACTTTTCTGCTCACCTCGGGCTCTGGTGGGCCACACAAAGGAGAAAGCACTACCAGAAGAGTTCAGTGTTACATCCTTGGGGATCTGCTCCTTTCCATACTGGACTAGGCCATCTGCTTGCTCCAGTTCCTTAGCTCTCTCGCTCCTCAGTTTGTCCTTTGTCCTCCTAACCTCAGTGAAAGCACTCTGTTTCTGCTCTGAGTTGTCCTTCTTAGTTGCCTGCCTCCCTGAACTGATCTTCCAGAAGGAACCACCCAACACGTGCTCCCCACCCACTTCCTCCTTGCCCCCATAGCTGTGCTCCTCCCCCAGGTTATTGGTTTTCTCTAACAACACTGTTTTCCTGCTCCTGTTTTCCACCTCTTCTGATTTTGTTCTCCTATCGCCTGTGCCATGGGCATCATCTTTCTTGGCAGACATTTTGATCTCCAGGTCCCTCACCAAGCTGTGAAAGTTTGTGGCCTGCTCAGCTATGTTGCTTTTCAAAGCCTTACGGTCCTGGAGGTTTCTCCACAGCAGGGCGTTCTTCTCTGGGATGCAGAGGAACCGGATATGAGAGAGATACGAATGCTCACATGTAAAGACCTGGTCACATTCGGGGCACTTCAGCTCTGTGGAAACAGACAACAGCCAATGAGTTCTGTACAGGCAGAGGCATTGATGCAGATTGGACCTGACTGCTCTCAGCGATGGGAACAGAAGCCAGGAATAACTCCACTGATTTCAGTAGGGGTTGAATGATTGTAAAGTTAATACAAGTGCTGAATCGGGTCCTATGTCACTGTAGAAAGTGCCATGAGTGCACATGGGAAGTGCTTCACACACATTTACTTCTGTGCTACACACAGCAGTGCTAACTCTTATGCTGTTAAGCCATGTTCTCATCCAATAAAACTTCATGGTAAGCACTAGCCTGAATCAAACCCTCCGACTTTAGGGTGGTTCAAAGCCTAAACCCAGATCTGCACCTAAGCTTCCCAGCAGGACCCTAGCTTTGCCACAGGCTGGATGCCAAGCCCACTGTAACACTGAAACGAACTGAGTAGATGTCAAAAAAGCAGGGTGCACAGGCTGTGGCCTTAAGTAACTACACAGCTTACTCAAGAAGTTTAATGTTTTCTATTTAAAAATCCTCTAAGGATAAATCCTGAAATCTGTACTCCTTTGCTCTCAGCCAAGTGATTCGTTGAATATAAGTGAGCTTCTCCCTGTGGTGGTAGAAGTTATCATTTAAAGATGCTCCCTATCAGGAGACTGAAGGAGTTGGGTATTGGGACATGGTTAGTGACTAGTTAGGTTAGTCAGTGAGAGAGATACAAAGGGTCTGCAGAGGTAGTTTGCTCCACAACGAAAGTTTCTTCTCATTCATGCATGCCTGTCAGTACCCAGTGATCACTAACTCCTGCTGCTATCAAGAGCTGGGCTAATGTAGCAGACTAAGGTACATCCTTAGCATGAGTTATATTGAGGGCCAAGATCAGTTGCATCATTCAAACCAAACTCTGATCCCCTCCCTGGTTTCCAGGGGAATAAAAAGGATATGACGTATGGCTGGTTTTTCCATGGGAATTTTCAAAGTTCAAGGGAATTAGATACCAAAATGTCCCTTAGGCCACTTAGAGCATTAATATAGAAAAGGCAAAAACACATACAACACCCCCTGAAAAGTGACAATGAAAACAGCATCAAGGTTTCCATGTTTGTTCTGCCTCTCAAAGACTCCAGCATGGGGCACAAGTAAAACATTTTCTTCTGACTGCCCAGCCCTGAAAACCCAATCTAAGGTAACAGTTAAGCTGGGTTCCTTCCCATTCAAGCAGCATTGCCTACAACAAAGATACAGCAGGCTGACTTCAGCCCTCCCTGACCCTGGGGAAATCTTAGTTTCTTGCAGTTAGGCCTTTTGTACTCACCATTTTGGAGAGTTCTGGCTTTTATCTCATTAAAACCAAGGAGGCTGGAAAGCTCTGCATCATACCAAACAAGGAGCTCTTCATTTCTGTTTATTTTCCTAGTAGACCGAAAGTACAACTGACTGTTTTTTAAATAGGCTTCCAAGTTCTGTTCCTTGCTATTGGCAGCTGCTTGAACAAGCCTCATCCAGGGCAGTCCAGTGGGGCTATGCACTGAGGAGACATCTACCTGTGAGACATAGGACAGAAACAGAAACTTTAGGGATTTTAAATGCTCAATGCAAGATTTTCCCCCAAAATTCATCAGCAAAACCCATTCATGTCTGCTTCATATGTGAGGCAATTTGTTAAGGGCTATGGTCCTGTTTCTTACGCACATAGGGTTTGATCCAAAGCTGACAGGAGACATTCCCAGCGAATGGATCAGGTCTATGGGGTGAAATTCAAGGGTAAGTGGAAGGCTGCTTATGGCAAATGACACACGAAAGTCTCACTTAGACCTGGTTTAGGAGGTTTATTGAATTTTTTGGGCCTTCTGTTGTTACCCTGCATACAGATAAGTTTCATCTTATGAGTGTTTTTAGAGAAAGGAATAGCCCAGTTGACTCCACTGGATTTGGTCACATGTAACCAGACTGCAAAGCCCGGGCAGATGTTACACTTAGAAACCAATCAACCTGTTAATCATGAGTGCCTGAGTGCCCTCAGAGGTTGCGGGGGCACAGCGAGCTCCTGCAGGCAGTGGCAGCGCTGTTGGCAGCAGGAGCATGGCAGTGGCAAGCAGGGAGCTTCCACAGGTGGCTGCAGTGCTGTTGGCGGCGGGGAGGTGGGGGGAATGGCGAGTGTCAGTGGCAGTCAGTGACCACCCGCAGATGCCAGTGGTGGCATTGGTGGTGAGAGGGAGGGGGTGGCAAGCAGTAATTGCCCACAGGTGCCACCAATAGTGTCAGCAGTGCCTTTTCTCAGGGGGTGCACCGCCATGCTCAGGGCATGCATGTGCACCCGCATGCATGCCCTACACATTGCCAATGCTGTTAATCATGCCATAAATATTAACCCTGCCACACATTCAGGGAAATGGCATGACAAAATGATGAACAAGCCACAAAGATATTCCACAAAAGATGTGTAACATATTTGGGGTTGCTTTCCATCGTACCTTAAATCACGGATTTTCAACCTTTTTTTAAGGAGTGTACCCATTCTGGGTACACTTCTGTTGGGCGGGGGGGGGCGGCAGCTGAATGCAGAACAGGGTGGGGCTTGCATGAGATGGTGCAGGGTGGTGGATGGCAGCAGCAGCTACTGTGTGAGCTCCCCACCCCACATGTGGCCAGGCAGCATCTGTGCAGCCCACAGAGGGGAGCAGCTGCCCTCACCCCGCCAGCCCTGCTCCTGGGAGGCAGAACTCCGTGTCTCACCCTGACATAGCACAGCCCTTGTTTTGCCCCTTAGTTCCTATAGGGGCTGTGAAGCAAGACATGTTCTGGTACAGTGAGCCATGGTGCTCACCAGAATACAGTACCAGAATACACCTTGATTCCTAGCCCTCACAGGAGCCTTGGGGCAATGTAAGCATTGTGCCAGGTTGGGACAGGATGACTACTTTGCCCCACAGCTCCTAGAGGGCTGCAAAGCAAGGCACTTGATGCATCCTGGCCATGGGAAGCCTGGGACTAGGGAGAGGTTCCCTAATCTGAGGGTCCCTGTGCACTGGGACCTGAAAAACTCACTTGTGCAGCTAGGCTGTATACAAGGTTTTCTGATATCCCAGTGCATGGGCCTCTGGCACCAGCCCTACGGCAGCCTTGAGGTTGGGACCAAGAATCAGCTATTTATTGGTTCCAGTCCCATGACCACAGTGGAGTCTTGAACTTCCCCTGGTGCATTTCCAGAACTGAGACCAACAATCAACTGATTGTCAGTCCAGGTCCCAGGTTCATGGGCCATGCTGGGCTGCAGACACCCAACTTTCAATTTGCAAGTGCAGGGGGAGCCTGGGATCATGATCCTGGACTTCTCCTGAACTGGCAGCTAGTGATGGTGCTATTGGTTCTGATCCCCAATCCCAGAATTGTGCAACCTGTCTGCACATGTGGTGTGGCAGGAGGCATGGTTGTTGGGATGGGAGATCAAATTCCATCAGGCTTTTAAATAAACGTGTGCTATGGTCCTAAAGAACACATTGCCAAAGCTTGGTTTTGTTCTTAAAGAACAAGCTTAGCTTACTGCTGTACACAACTCCTTTTATGGTTACCATTTTATACCATATAATCTCACAGAATTAATTTAACCGCATGTGCTGTCTCACAAAGAGAAGTACCCCAAAATACACAATACCAGAGATTACTCAAGTTTACTAGTAACCATGTGGTGTTTTTAGAGGAAGCAATGCAGAGAGACTAGACTCTTACCACACAAAAATCAGATCCTACCCCTTCATTTTTTAACAAAGAGAGCCAAGTTACTGCTTATACCAAGGATGGGCAAAATACAGCCAACAGACTAGATCTGGCACACTGAGGGATTTTGACCAGCCCATGGTGGGTCCCTTGGTCCTGCCTAGCCCAGGCACAGGGGGCAGCTTGAGCCATGGCGCATGTGGCTGGTCCTCCTGACCCTGGGCGCACAGCAGGGCTGGGATGGTGCAGTGGCTAGACTCCATTTCTTGGCAGCCCAGGTGGTGGTAGCTCCTTCTGTCTGCTACTGCCAGACTGTCCCGCTTCCTGGCCACCTCGGACCATCCTCACCACACGTATCATTGGAGGTAGGATCCACACTGGCAGGGTGTGCAGCTGGGTGGCTACGGTGGGGCTGTGGGCCAGTGAGGAATGGCATTCAGGAGTGAAATGGCCAGGCAGGGCCAGGGAGACCCCAGGATCTTGGAGCAGTAATAGCACGGGGCTGGGGCCGAGGGCAGAGCCATGATGTACTGCCTGCATGGCCCTGCAATGGGTGCAGGTTCCATGGGCAGAGGTTCGCAGGGAGTGGATCACAGCTCTGCCCTGGCTCTGGCCCCATGCTGTCATCACCCCAAGATCCCAGCCCCAGCCGCAGCCCTCCACCTCCCTGCAGCCTCATCCCATCCATCCAGCCATGCACCCTGCCTGTGCAGCTTCCTGACAGTCTCCATGAAGACCCTGGGATCGTGGAGCGGTGACAGTGAGAGGCCAAGTCTGGGGCCAGGGCAGAGCCCTGTTTCTATGGGCAAGGATATGCAGGGAGTGCATCACTCCCTGAGACAGGCAGGCAGAGCCAGGGAGACCCCGGGATCTTGGGGTGGTTATAGCATGGGGCCAGGGCCTGAGGCCGAGCCATGATCCGCTCCCTGCATGCCCCTGCCCATAAAACCCACACCCATCACAGGGCTGTGCAGGGAGCAGATCGTGGCTCTGCTTGGGCCCCAGCCCCGTGCTGTCACCACCCCGCAACCCTGTCCCATGACCCCAGCCTTACCTGCCCATCCTGCTCCTGAACACTGCTCTCCATGTACCTGCACCCCCATCCCACATAGGGAGTTTTGGTGAGTTGTTGGGTGAGGGAATGCTGACCCAGCCTGCAACAGCTCAGCAAAACTCCTTATGTGGCCCCTGAGCCAAAATAATTGCCTACCCCTGGTTAATACTAAATTTAGCGTGGCTTAGGCTATCAAACCCTTCACATAAATGACAAAGTATTATGGGAGTTCAGCTAGCTACTTAACTAACATGAAATGTATGACCCTAATAAGCATAAGTGGTGGTGAACAGGTTGGTATTGACCTGGAAGGATGTTGGCAGTGGGGTCCCGCAGGGCTCAGTCCTTGGACCTGTACTCTTCAATGTCTTCATCAGTGACTTGGATGGGGGCATGACATGTACTCTGCCCAAGTTTGTGGATGATACTAAGTTGTGGGGTGAACTGAACACACCAGAGGGTAGGGAACAATTGCAGGCAGACCTGGGCAGGTTGGAAAAGTGGGCAGAACACAGTAGGATGCAGCTCAACAAGGACAAATGCAGAGTGCTGCACCTACAGCATAAAAACATCCAGCACATTTACTGGCTGGGGAACGACCCTCTCAGCAGCACAGAAGTGGAAAGGGATCTCAGAGTCATAGTGGACTCCAAGATGTACGTAAGTGTGATGAAATCATCAGCAAAGCTAACCACACTTTATCATGCATTAGCAGATGCATGACAAATAGATTCAAGGAAGTGATACTTCCCTTCTATGTGGCATTGATCAGACTGGCATTGGAGTACTGCATCTAGTTTTGGGCGCCATCTGTAAGAAGGATGTGGATAACCTCAAGGGGGTCCAGAGGAGGGCCACTTGTATGGTTAAGGGTTTGCAGGCTAAGCCCTATGAGAAGAGACTAAGGGAACTGAATCTCTTCAGCCGTCACAAGAAAAGGCTGAGAGGTGATCTTGTGGCCACCTATAAATTCATTAGTGGGGGGCAGCAAGGAATCAGAGATGCTCTGTTCACCAGGGCACCTCTTGGGGTAAATAGGAACAATGGTCACAAGCAGATTTAGGCTAGATATCAGGAAGAACTTCTTCATGGTAAGGGTTGCCAGAATTTGGAATGGGTTTCCAAGGGAGGTGGTGCTCTCCCCTACCTTAGAGGTCTTTAAGAGAAGGCTGGATAGGCATCCGTCTGGGTTTATC